AAAATACTTTGAAATAAATTTATAAAACATTTAGGAGTTAATAACTATTCATATCTGGGCTGGAGTGATAGCACAGCGGGCAGGGTGTCTGCCTTCCACATGGTCAACCCAGGTACCATCCCAGCATCCTATGTGGTCCCCTGAGCACCGCCAGGAGTAATTCCTGAGTCCAGAGTCAGGAGTAATCAAAAAGCAAAAATAAATAAATAAATAAATAAATAAATATTCAGATATAACTTAGTTGGTCTGTTTTGTTTTGGTCTGGCCTACTTTGGTTTGGGAGCCACACATGGAAGTGTTTAGAGTTTATTGCCTGGTTTTGAACTCAGAAATCACTCCTGGAGTGGTTCAGGGAAACGTACGCAGTGTTGGGTATTAAACCTAGGTCTGCTGCACACAAAGCAAGCACCTTATCCACTGTATCTAGCCCTCAAATTTAAAGTCCATAAGTTATTATTTGCATTGGTTTAAGTATTCATAGTCTGAGTCTCATGCTTTTTATGGGAATCTCAAAGATACAGGAAACAAGGGTGATTGGGAGATAGAATTAGAAGGGTTATCTAAACAGGTTAAAGCTTTGGACTTCATTTTGAAAATGTTAAGACATCTAAATGTTTAATCATATTTTTCCATGTTACTACTTTAACAACAATGAAATGAGTAAATATTTGTATGCAATTAATTAGGAGGCAATTATTGTTTTCTAGGCTTACACTGGTAGAATTTTGCACTATCTAAGGTGTGGCTAAAAAGATTCAGCAAAGAAACTGAAAGCAAATGGAAAGTAACTAAGTAATACCAGATAGCCCGAGAGCATGGGCCCAAGAGTAAAATACCAATCAGGATTTAAACATCTGTGTACTTTGGATCTCTACCCCACATGTGGCAGCATAGCTGAATGTGGGGACCTATGACAAAATTGGCAAGAGTCAAAGGTAACTGAATGTGCAGTCACCAAAAATTAATTCACAATCAAGTAAACATAATGAATTGGATTTATTTCTGGTGGTATTCATCATGTGCCATTTCTTTAGTGAAGAGGGGTCATGTGTGGAAAAGCTTAAGAAGCCCTGGCCTAAGACATGAGTTATGCTTAATCTTGGCATTCTTTTCTCAGAAACACACAATGGCTGTCCCTGGGTCCTAAGAATGCCTATATTCCCTGTTGTGGCATTTAAAGACACTCACTTCTATATATTATTTGATGGATTATATACTCAGGACACACTAACTATAGTTAATCCTTGAATAATGCAGGGATTGGGGCACTAACCCCCATTAAGTTGATTTTCTGCACCTAATTTTCAACTATCCCAATCTTAACCACTAATAGCCTATAGATGATTTGGAATAAAACTATTTACTGCTGTAGCACTGCACTGCACTGTCTTCCCATTGTTCATTGATTTGCTCGAGTGGGCCCAGTAATGGCTCCATTGTGAGACTTGTTATTACTGTTTTTGGCATATCAAATATGCCACGGGGAGCTTGCCAGGTTCTGCTGTGCAGGCATGATACTCTCAGCAGCTTGCCAGGCTCTCTGAGAGGGACAGAAGAATTGAACCCGGGTGGGTCACATGCAAGGCAAACGCCATGCCCTCTATTGCTCCATTTACTGCTAACATTTGTAAAATGATTAACTCATCTTGTTTCCTGCATTATATATAATTATTTATTGATTTGAGCCGGAGGGGTAGTCCATCCCTGGCAGTGCTGTGGGCTACCAGGAATCCAGCTGGGTTTGGCTACATGCAAGGCAAGTGCCTTAACTCCTCTACTACCTTTTAGGCCCAGTATTTTTAAGCATAATTATATAAAAAATAAGGCTAGTGAAGCTAAGAAAATTACAAGGAGAATGCATTTATGGCAATACAGTTTATTAGGATCATAAGTTTACATCATCTTTTATGAGAAAAATCTATGCATAAGTGAACTTATTACAAATCCTGGCTTTTCACAGGTCAACTATAGTTTGACTTAATGGAATATACAAAGATATTTTATGTCTTCTTGTTTTGAAAAATACTGTACAGATGATATAATTCTCTAAGTTTGTAGTGTATTATTCCGTCATCCTCCCTAGTCTATATCAATTTCTGCTTCCTGCATACCTTTTGCAAATTTAACTAGATCTCAGTTTTGCATTTGGATACTTAATTCAGTGAATCTAAGTGATTCTATTCATATTACATTGGTTTTCTTGTCTTCTAAGTAGAAACCTCTTGAGGGTGAACAATTTATTAATTTAGCTTTGTATTTCTCAGTTAGCTTACCAATTTCAGTGATAGATATAAATGAAATTAAACTGATTTAATATTCCTTATAATTAGATTCCAATCAGATATACATTAATTATAAAAGTATCCAGAGGAAAAATTTAATTTTAATGAAGAAGAATATTGTAACCCAAACATGAGAGCTTGTAACTATCTCACGGTGATTCAATAAAATTAAAAAAAAAAATGATCAATATGTAGACATATGTGAGTTATCAAATGACAGGGCAAACTTATGAGTGCATAAAATTCTTTATTTAGAACAATAAAGTATATGTATATATAATGTAATTTCAAATTCAAACCTGTATAAAAAAGGGTCAGGACATATACCTATTTTAAAAAGTACACGTACAGTATATACACATACACATCACATTTTACAACCCTTTTTATTTAATTAAACTTCAGTCATAATAAAACTATTTAGAATAGTGTTGACATACATTTACATAACAATATGCAAACTCCAATCTATGACTGAACAAGCAATATATCTGTGCAACCATCTAAACGTCTGAATACTTTTTAAGTCCACTGATTTAAAAAATAGTGGCAAGGGGACACTATTGTCACACATTAAACCTCAGCATATAGGAGAATAAAATATTTTGATTGGAATGGTTTATTTAAGTGAGTCTTATAGCTCAGAAATCAAGTAACTGAAAATACTATGGTTTTTAGTTTGAATAATTTTATTTTTAAAAACAGTATCATAAAAATGTAGTTGGAAATAACAGCATAAATTTACAATGCTTAGCAAAAGTTTTAGGATCATGGATGTTCATTTTAATAGGAATTACTTCTAAAATAAAATCTTGCCAGCAAAGGAAAGTACCATTATCTTATCTTTACAAACCAAAGAATTTCCAAACTTGTCAAAGGAAGGCAGCAACACCATAAAATGTGTGATCAAAGACCACAAATGAAGTACTTAGAGTTTCAATTGAATGTTTATATTTTAATGTAAATTTTATAATAAGTTTCAAAGACAAGCAGTTTCTTCAAAATTCATGTCTTATGTTTCAATTTCAAAATATAATTTATGGATTAGCCTTTTCCAAATGGATTCTAAATTATCTCTTGGCATTCAAATATATTCTAAGTATTTTACATTTTCTGCTCTTAGCTTTTAATAAAATGAGAGCATTTAAATGCTTAATTTGGTGCATTTCCAAAAGTTACACACATCTTACAGAATCTCTTTCTGACTAAAATGAACTTGTAGTTTTCGTTCCTGGGAGGTGATCCAAAACATTTACTAGAGCAAAGAAAAAATATTATCCCCTGTGTAAATAGTTATCCAATTCACTCACATGACTGTATTTCACTTTACTAATGGACCCTATTTACATTAGAAACAACATAGGCAATGAAGTTTATGTTCAAATTGCTTATAAAGAGATGAGAGGAGTATATTTTGCATTGAATAGTTTTAGCTCTATTTTGTCTTCTCGGTCAATCATTTAGTAATAGATTTCATACCTAAGTTGTGACTTCTGAGTTCACCATAAATTAAAAATGAATATCCAAAAGGGTTTGGTGATTTAACAGAAACTTTCAATGGCAGAATGGGGCCTTCTGATAATTTTTGCCTAATTTCCACTATGCCAACCTGCCCCTCTGAAAATAGTTATTTAAGAAGGATATGGAATGGATAAAAGCCCTGTATGGAAATAATATTTTGGACCAAAATCTATAGAAAAATGTTATCTACACATTCTTAATATTATTTTTGTTAATTTAACTTAGAAAACCAAAACATGCTACCATTTCTCTTAACTACTTCAATTAACATGTTTAATTCAACCAAAGCAAACACTTCATTATTGACACTTTTTGCCCCCCCATTTTCATTTTTAATACACTCGACCATTTTTAAGAGTATGGGTTACCTATTCTTTCATAGCATTAAAAAATTAATTTGTCTTAGACTCATTAAAAGATGGCAGTGTTAGAGGCCAGAGAGAGCCCCACAGGCTGAGCACATACTTTTTTATGTGGGAGACCTGGGTTTGATCCCTGACACTGCATGGTACCCCAAGCACCACTACTGGGCACAGAACCAGAAGCAGCCCCTGAGCAATGTCATGTGAAGCCGCAGAACAGAACAAAAGAAAACAAAAAAAGTGGCAGTGTGGTGATAATCATATAAGGTAATTTATACAGAATCCAGGAACACTTTTATATCACTGTGTATACAAGCACAGTGCCAGTTGAAGTTTATCACAGAACCAGCTGAAGACTTAAGTTTTACCAAAGAGGAGCAAAACTGAATATAATTTATTATCTGAAAACTTCTGAGATAATTAAAATTTTTTAAGAAGTGAAATAGAATCATCAGATACATGGGACTAATTTAAAAGATGATTTCATGGTTTATGGTGTAGTTAATGAGTTTTCCATGATTTATAAAGGATATTCAGAACATATCAGATAAAATAAGCAAAGATATATATGTATATATATATATTTAATTTCAAAGCAGATGTGACAGTTAATGCCCAAGCATCTAGCATCCAAAATGATATTCAGTATTTTTCTATTGTTTGTACACTTTATTGAAATTCAGTGTTTTCAAAGTTGGAAATCCAAGTAACTTTCAATAAACTAATATATTTAGTTAGGCAGAACAAATCGCCCCTCACCTAGCATGCCAGATTTCATAACTTGCTGAATTTGTTTGAGTCTATTGATTAGGACGATGTCCTTGAGTGTTAAAACTCAGCTTTGAGAATAAGAGTACATTTATGGTACTTCCAATTCAAGCTCCTAAAACAGCATTTCCACATGCCTAAGAAAATTGAAACCACTAGTTAAATAAAGCAAACTATTAGACCGAGAAGTACCAATCTTCTTAGTCTACACACATAACTTATATTAATTAATCTATATCTACTTCCCTCACAACAATCAGTGTTATACATTGAGACAGGTTCTTTCAACAATTAAACTGACCTCTAGTTTTATTACTAATTGATTGTACCATGTACTATCCAAGGGCCCAGTTAATGTAGCTTCCCAATGCGCACCTGGTTTGTATATTAGAAGAATGACTAGTATTTGAGGAATCACAGTACTTCAGAGAAGGAAGGGGTTGTAGAAATCATGTGGGCTCTTTGGTACAAAAAAGAGCAAAGGCCACTTACGGGAGTTGTATTTGCATTAGCTTTGAACATAAGCTCAAAGCTAACTATACTAGAAATTCTTGGACTTTTGAAATCAAAGGAAAGGTAACAGTTTTTCATGCCCTTTTGTATCACTACATTGAAATGGTCATCTGATAGTATACATGGCAACAGTGCTGTCACATGGATTAAGATAGAATGGATTTGAATTCCTTTATGTGTATGTGTACATTGATGATATAGTAAAAGAACCGTCATCAAAATACAAACCATAAAAAAAAATCATTCTCTGCATTTAGTCAAATGTTCCTTGACTCTTTAAAACAATTGGCAAGGGGAACTCATATAATGTCTTACATGTTCTAGTTTCAAAAGCACAATGTCCATCGTGGGAATTCCTGCCAAGTTAACTCTTCGTAAGATAAACGCTGTCACACATCTTAAATAGCAAACTGACATGCACAACTACATAAAGCTCTCTTTTTATTAATTCATAAATCTTATTATAGAGTGCCTGATTTTAAATAAATGGATCCTTTAAACAGGTAATGGTGATTACACTATAAATAAAGTTTCCTGATTCTTTGTATTCTTGTAAAAGCCAAGTAACCTAGTTTTCAACACCCCTATTACCATATGGGTGTGACTAACTAACCTTAGATACTAAATATAATTTATGCTTACTTTCTCCCATGGCAGAAATGAAAAAGGGACCTTCATATATTCAGCAGTATCTTCCAAGTCCCTTTACTAAACTCTTAATAGTTTTAGAATATAAATGTTTCATAATATTTTGCAAGCAGAATTTCTATACTCTAGAGAGGTCAAGGGAAAAGACCAACTTCACCATGGATGGCACATGTCCTCCTCAGTGGCTGTCTTGCTGTTCAGTGGTCATAGCTTCTTCCTGTGATGACTCTTTCAGAGAGTCTCCTCCATCACAGTCATCACTGTTCTAATTATCTACTGGCTGCCCTGTATGGATAGATCCAGCCAATTATGCCCATTTGTCTAGTGGGAAATGGGTTAAATCAGAAGAGACCAAGATCAAATCCAGATCATCAATCAGCTGCTACAAGGCTGCCAAGTCTATTCCAATCACTTTGATTCCACTCTTCACTATATGTACAATGACTGATGCTATTGAGTTTTTTTCTTCTTTTCGCTAGATCCCTTTGAGAAAAATGTATTATCCCCACAATCCAGGCTTAAATATACTTTGCAGAGACCAAAGTAACTAGAAAATGCAGGTTGTAACTGAAAATAAAGCTATGTGTTTTTTCAGCAATTAGACATTTCTGGAGGCATGCGAAATGGTGCGTGCAGTCTGTGACACGTGCTTTCTCTACCAACATCAGTCGCAAATTTGAAATGAAACAAGTCCCCCAGTTCCTTAAAATAGAGTCCTGCTCCATGCAATTTCTTCTTTATAGATGATTAATTCAGTGCCAGTTTCACAGTAAAACACGTGGTTCCAATTTCTGAATCATCCATATACAGTCATGGGTAGCAAGAACAGAAAAAGATGCGGTCTGTCACTCCAGACAGAATATGAATTTGTTTAAAGCGGCTTCATTTATGAAGCAAACATGAACTGTTACTGCCTAGAGAGGAGAAAAAAAAAAGAGATTAAGACATATCTACTTTCTGCCTGTTTTTTCATTCTCAATAGCTGATTCATAAGACTCGATGAGTAATAGACTTACCATGTAGGAATCATTTGGCTTAAAAGAACTATTTTTTTTCCTAGATGTGTGATCTCTTTATGATCTCTCTGGTAACACCAGTATCCTAAATAACTTTATTAGTAATTGCTTGTTTCTTCCTGTTAGAATGTAAGCTCCATGAAGACATAAAGTTTGCCCACCAAGTACTGCCATAGCCCAACATTCAGAATAGGATCTGGCACAAAAATAAAAAGCCACTCAACCAATATTTTTTGAACATCAGTGAATGAATGAATGAATGAATGAATGCCCTGCGCTTTCATACCTGGGCATATGGCAGTTGATTTGTTTGTGGTAAGAGGATTCTATCGCTTATATAGCCATAGATTTCCCTAACAAGGATTTGAGAAAATTAATAGTCAAAGGCAGTTTTAGAGAGTCAAGAAAAGAAAGTTGGGGCGGGAAGACTCAAGAAATAGTGGGATTTGGAAACAGTAGGGAAGCTAGTAAGAGATCACCAACGGCTTCTGACCATTGAGCAGCACTGCTATCTTGGCAGTTTAACCAAGGGATAGCAGTCACTTCTCCCAACTGAGGAAGTAGCAACAGGAAGATCTCATTTGATACTGTGAGCCAGAAAAACGAAAGACAAATGCTGGCATGACATCCTGATGAAGCCTCTGGGAGCTTCAGTTGGCCTCCACACAGCTTATTATACTTGTTGAAGCATGAAAGCCAGACTTCATTTGAGGTCTTTGTTGCTGGAGTTAAGCCACTGAACTTTAGATTCAACTTTTACATTTTTCAACATTCAAGTTGAAATGCTTTCATTTCTATTTTTTATCATTGATAACACTTCTACACATTCTCTTCAATCTCATGTCCTAAATAAGTGTAAATTTAGTTTTTATGTCCAAGTCAGTCCTTTTCCCCTAGTTTTGTCCTTATTAATAAATCCCAGAATCACATATCATTGATTAAAAAATAGTTATGGTTGTTATATAGGTGACATAAAATTCCATAATATAAGAACCACAATATTTTTATATAAACCTTGTATTATAAAAATTGTGTTATATAACAATCTATCAGAGGCCTCTAGAAATTATAAAATCTGTGTTTAGAAAGCAGAATAAAATATTCATGAAAAATAAAAAGTTTCAGGAAAACCAACATACATGGCAGATAGTTTGAAAATTAAGTTTTGTTAGAAATGTGAAAAGAAATGCAAAAATAATCTATTTTTTTATTAAAGACTATGAATAAGTTGAAGTTATAAACTTAATTATAGATATGTAAATTATTCTATTTTATACCCTTAAAAGCTGACGACTGTTTTCCTGTAGAGTAAAACTGCAATTTTTATAATGATAACCTGGATTCTTATGATTTCATGAACAAAACAGGGTATTATTGTTCTCTCATTATACTTGAAAAATCAGTACCTAAAAGAAAGTTGACTCATCTATGAACCTGCAAGTAGTTAAATTTGTAAAGCCAAGGCTTGAACCCAAACCTAATCCCTTTTAATCCATTAGATCACAATGTATTACAAAAAAGAACCCCCCCCCAAAACCTTTAAAGTTCCAGAAATTCTTAGGAAATATTTGCTAGCGTCACAGATCTTGTCATTTAGAAAGCAATCACTCCCATCTTATATGCTAAAGGACCAAACTTGGCTTGAGATCATCCAGATTCCAGTCTATTTTCTCCACTCTTAGATCTATTAGAAATTTCCAAAACATGTTTTTCTTCTGCAAATCTCTTTACTAGTCTAACTGTGTTAAGAATTACTTTTGAAACTGGAGAAATAGTACAGTGGGCAAAACAGTAGAGCTTGCACATCGCTGACTTCACTTTGATCTGTGGTACCCATATGGTCCTCAGCACCCTGCCAGGAGTGTTCCCTGAGCACATTGCCAGAAGTAAGCTTTGAGAACCACTGGATGTAACCCCAAAAACCAAAAACACAAGAATTATTTTTTGCCATTCTACGGTAATTCAATAAACACTGTTAAGTATCAACAAATTCTAAGAGTCAACCAAACAGGACTTCTCTGAGACTAACTCATCCTCTCCTAAGGTTTCAGTCAAAATTCTTTGCAGATGACTTCTAAATCCAAATTTGTTATTTTCTGACTATTTTCTGAAGTTCTAGGCTAATGTCTTTGGCTACTGATCAATATTTCTCCTATTGTCTACCATTCAATGGCACTGTTACTGATTAGTCCCTAGGCTCCAAATCATCATTGAATTCTGCCTTTTATGATAATCCTCACATCCCATGAGTAATTAGGTTTATTGATTTTTTAATATAGTGTTTCCAAAATGGCACACGATTTCCTGTTTATATGATTAGAATCCTAGTTCATGTTTTCATTTTTTCTCATCTCTTGGAAAATTGGCCTCCTAAGTCGACACTCTGACTCCAGTTCACCACTCCCTCACCCCAAACTGACTACACCAATATCTGACTATTTTCCTAAATCTTTGCTTTCATTGTATCACTCACATTTTTCTGAACCTTCATGAACTCTTTATATTTTAATAAATGTAAATCCTAGTCTTAGAATTCAGACCATTTTCTAAATGAATACCAACCCTTTCTTAACCCTTCTGTGTAAATTCTTCTGGACTCCAATAGTATAAATGGACTCTTCTGGCTGCATTATCCCTCTGATATTTTCAATAAAATTTTACCAATCATTGAAGTCTTAGTTAAGCACAAAAACTTTCCTACAAACAAGGCAATAACGTATAAGTATGGATGGAAAGTGTCAGTATCTGGAGCTGGGTAGGCACAGCCTGTTCAACCACTGATGGTAGCCTTACTCTTGATCTTTTATTGTATATCTCTTTTGTTGATTTATAGACATTGTAAACCTGAAGTTTCCTTTTAAAAATAGGTTCTTAGGCATATGTCTTATTTCCTTTTGTAAGTTGAAAGCAATTTGGGAACATAACTATGTTATAATACATTTTGCATTCAATAGTGTATTTACTAGAGTTTGCTGGAATCCCATTTATGAGAAGAACTGAAAGCAAAAATTTCCTACTTAATATACTCAATCACTTTCTATAAAACTGTGCTACATATAAACCAATAAGTGTTAGGTTTGGTGGAGAGGGAGCCTCACCAGAAGAGATTATTTCTGGCTTTGTGCTCAAGTTTACCCCTGGAAGTGCTCAGGGAGATCATAGGTGGTATTGGGTATTTGAACCAGAGTTAATCCCATGCAAGGTTGACTTCCTGACTGACCTTCCTGTTTGATTGTGACACAATGGCTACTTGGCATACCTAAGTTACTTGAGTTTTTAACCTTATAAAAGGTATTATAGGTATTTTCATATTTTCTACCAAATAACAGTTTATCTTGGAAGAAAGTTTTAAATAATTTTCTTAAATTTTGATCTCACATTATTATAATTATGAGAGAATCATAAACTTACAGGTCCAAGACAGAACCTAAACAATTTGATGAAAAAAGAGAAATACATCTTCTCCCCACTAATAGCTTATGGCTTAAAGAAAGATAGAAAGTGTACTGTGTACATTACTATGTTCTGCTAAGAGTTATATGAAAAGTAGGTAGAGAGTCAGCAAGAGATTACTTTCACTTAGGAAATCAGCTTTTGAATGTGATTGTAGGAGAAGAATCACTGAACTGAGAGAAAGCTCTGCAAAGATGATAAATATAATCAGAAAACAGAATACCCCTTCTTCATTTGCTCTATCATTCATTTGCACCTACTCCTCAATGTTAGGTGCATTTATTTCTAAGCAAACCAGGGTTTCTATATGACAGTATTTATTCATTTTGTGCATAAAATACTTTAAATTAAAAAATATAAACTTGTTATTTCCCATACAACTATATTCCCCCTTTCTATCCAATTGATCCAAGTATGCAAATTAAGCATGCAAAAATAAGAAAAAATGAATCCTACTTTTAGAAAGATTCTAAAATTGCTTTATCATGATAAAAACATTTAACATGAGATCTATCCTCAACATATATTTTTTAAAATTTACTTTTTTGGGTGAACATACCCAGAGGAAGTCAGGGACTTCTGGCTCAGTGGTCAAGGAACAATCCTGGTGGGATCCAGGAGACCACACAGTGTCAGAGATTGGTCTCCAACCACTTACATGCAAAACATGGAACATCTTGAGCTATTGTTTACTTCTACCTCAACACACTTTAAAGTGTATAATCTAATATTATCACCTATGCACATGATATATGTAGATCTCTGAAATCTATTCATCTTGGTGAGAAAAAAAAATCCATATCAAAGGAGTTATCTCTTACCACTTGATTAACCTTTCATTTAGGATTTATTTTTTCACTCAGTTAACACTGACTACCTACAAGGCATAAAAAATAAGCAATGAGCTTATGATAAGCTACAGTAAGAAGCAGGCAGGCTTGAGTTTGGTCCTTGACTGTTGTCTGACTAGTATATATTAAGTGTAAGCCACTTGTCTGCGGCTGCCTTAAAATGCCACAGTGAAAAACCACACGATTAAAGATCTGTGTGTCCGAACAGGAACCCAGTCATGCAATCCAAAACCAAATACTAGAGGACATTACATGAGCCTTAAAGACTCAATTGACCGTTTTATATGTGGTTTGTGGATGTCTGGTTTAGGGGTACGGAGACACTCAAGAGCAAAGAAACAGTGAGGCTTGTGTTGCAGTGGAAAGACAGAGACATAGAAATAAGTTTCTAGAAAGAAAAACACATTTCATTTTGGGCAGTATCATTCTAGATTAATAAAGAGTTGAGCAAAAGGTCTTTTTTTTTTTTTGCTTTTTTTGGGGTCACACCCAGTGATGCTCTGAGGTTTCTCCTGGCTCTGCACTCAAGAATTACTCCTGGCAGTGTTTGGGGGACCATATGAGATGCTGGGGATCGAACTCAGGTCGACCGCATGCAAGGCAAGTGCCCTATTCGCTGTACTATCGCTCTGGCCCCCCAAAAACTTTTCATTTGTGGGTTTTCGTTTGTTTGTTTGGGTTGGAAAAATGATCTTAAAGGCTAGGATGGAGAGGTGAAAAAAGAAAGATTCATGCTTTGTAGACAGTGGCCAAGGGCAGGATAAAGTTATGAGTTAAAGTATTAAAAAAATATGAGACATTGTTTCTATAGCATGTTACTCTGGGATGGTGAAAATGATGTGCCCCAAATAACCATAGCTTCTCAGGGGAGGTAAGACATTCTATGACCTAGTTTTTCTGGGAAGGTTTAAATTAGAGATTAGATCTCTGAATAAGGGACAGAATTGAAGGGTAGGAGGATGGCATCAGAAAAGAAAGGCAAGTTTGGTGCAGGTCACATGTGTAACAAGCTAAGGGGTTAATGATCCACATCATTGCATCATGGCAAACATAGAGAGGCAGAGAGAAGTGAAGATGTGGAAGAGAACATTCACAGCACCACTGCAAAACATGTGCTTTTGTTCTAGGAGGTGTAAAAGCAGTAACAGCTCATAGTAGAAGTAAGAAAAGCATATTTCAATGTTGGATGGAGTTAGTCTCACTGGGGGTGCAATTGGTGCCTGCAGTTCAGGAGTGGAGGAGAGACAGATGAGGAAATTTGAACATCAATACTATGGTACACACAGTTTACTCTCCTTCCATGGACCTGCCTAATACCAATAGGCACCTGTCCCAACTTCATATCTAGTGTGACTTTGGCTCTGGAATGTGATGATGCATATTTGTTACCTGTCCCATGGGGAGTGGCAATTTAACCTTGGCAGTTTTCCTCTCCTGAATTTCTCTGGTTTTTGTTTTGTTGTTATTATGGTTCTTTTCCTGTTCCTCCCCCCCACCCTGTTTCTGGGCCATACCCAGCTGTGCTCAGAATTCCTGTCTCTATGCTTAGGGATCATTCCTAATAATACTTGGGGAACCATATGTGGTGATAGGGATAGGGATGGGATTTGGGCCGACCACATGCAAGGCAAGTGCCTTACCCACTGTCATATGTCCCTAGTCCCAATAAAATATTTTAAATCATTCTTTTAGTTTATTGGGTCACATCTAGTAGTTCTCAGGCTTCTGTGTTCTAGAGATACTCCTGACAGTGCTCGAGGGAACATCAATGATGCTGGCAACCGAACTGGGATTGGCAGAGGACAAGGAAAGTGCCTTAACTTTTCTACTATCTTTCTCGTTTCCTTTTTCTTTCATTAAAAAAAGGCAGAGAGATATTTTTAATTATCACTTGTTTAAACAAAAAAATAGCATATATTTTCTAGCATGTTATAGCAGCCACGTCTAATCAAAATTTCATTCCTTATCAGTATTTTATTTTAGTTATAATTTTCCCTATTCCCCTTGTCTCACTTTGTTTTCTGGTTCCAAAAATAGTTAACACTCAATGGTTAATTTTTGTGTATCTCCTAAAGAAGACAAATCCACTGGTCAGAAATAGGCCTGCTTGCCTTTCAAAACTTGAGAACAAACAATGAATTAGATATGCACAATCCCGTTATGTAACAGGTTCAGTTAGCATACTGCCATCAGGATTCTTCACAAATGCTGTTTCTAAATTTTGGTGCCTATCATGCTGTCTTGTTACAATGTTCAGCTCGAATTCTGAAAACTTACCAATGCACGAAAGTAACAGTGTTGATAAAAGCCACAATTACACTTCTTGAAACTCTCTCTCTTTTTCTTGCAACATACTGAAAAACAAGAAAAACAGGCTCATTTTGACAATGATATGGGTATTGTCAAAGGCAGATGTATAGTAAATACAATAGCCAAAGGTGAGAGGGGAGTTTAATTTCATAAGGAAAGTGGGAATTACTTTCCTCAAGAGTTTTCCCAAGTATTAAAAACAAATTCTCTCTCTATATGTATATAAACACACACTGAAATTCTTACATGCTTCTTACATGTGTATTTGTATGCATATAGGTATGATATGAAGGAAACTTTGTAAACAAAAATTATTATTCAATGGAAACCAATGTTGTAAAGATAGTATAACAAGGAACAAGGTAAAGTGACCAGAATTAACCAAAGTAAATGGAAAGACAACTTAAGCAATTTTTTGTCCTTGGCTTTGAAGAAAATACTAAATAGAGTGAGAAAAGTTTATAGGCCTGAAAGACACAGTGAAATTATATCAAATAGTCAAAGAAAAATTACTGGAAGTATCTAGTAAGAAAATACTTCCATCATAATGTATTAAGCAGGGTTCTCAACAGAAAAAGAGGAAACAGGGAAAAGAGAAGGTGAAGTTTCAAAGGCTAAAGAAATTATTGATTCTGTGGCAGCAACTCAATTAAGAATCAATAGGGACAGGGATGAAGACAACTACAACTGCTAAAGAAAGAGGCAAGCCTGCCTGCAAAGAAAGTCAATATATCTTGGGAACAATAAAGGGAAGAAGGAAACTGAGTTAACATTCCTTTTCAAAGCTTTGTCACCAGGCATCTGTGAAAGATTCTGTTGCTATAGAAATAAAACATAAAAAAGAGATGACAATTTTAATATCTAGGAAGGGCTACACAAAAGCAAGTAAAGGTAGTCTGCAAGGAAACAGACATGTGGGGTTGAAGAAAGAATAAGAGTTCAGAAAATTAGATAAAGACGTGGGGAACACTGGGGGCTGCCATTAAGAAAGTATACAATTCAGAGAAGTTGTCCATTATGAGAAATGGCAATGTGAAGCTTATAGATGCACACATTTAGCAAGACAAAATACCTTATCTCATTATCCTCTTCATTAATCTGTATATCATCAACGGTCCTTGTATGATTTGGTTGTTTCTTCTGGAAAAAGAAAAATTAAAGCATATGTAAACATATCAATGGAAGGTACGATGTTTAGTAGATATAATTTCCACTATTTTTGTTGGCTTTGGATCACATTTGGAAGTGCCTGGAGGCTATTGCCACACTGTGCTCAGGGGTCATTCCCAGTGGTGTTGGGAGAACCATATGGTAGGAACCTGGGATGAAACCAGGAATTTTCACATGCAAAGTAGCACTCCAGACCCTTAAGCCATCTCCCGGTCCATAAATGTTTCATCTTTAGGTCAATAACTCCAAAGAATATTTTAGTAGATATCATATAAAACACTTTTGAAATCAAAAAATGACTTAAAACTGTACAGTTTTACCAACTTGACATTTGGGGTATGTCACTGCTGAAAAAGTAAGAAATTAAAAAATTTAATTGGTAATCAAAATCAAATTGAGAAGACATTTCAAAAACCTGAGTCATAATAACTTGGAACATTTAAAAATTTTACATAATTTTTAATGGGAAGAGAAAAGTTGAAATCTGAAATAGCAGATAACATAAATGTCAGCTCCATTTGGTTTTAAGTATGGGATATGACTTTTAGGTGTTTCTTCATGGTATTAAAACCAGTTTTCAAGCCGTAAGTTCCATTCTCAGGTAGTAAAATTTACTTCAGAGTGTATTGAGAAATGAAAATTTGAGGATCCTTTTGAAGATCTGCATTTTAGTTAAAGTAGAACTTAAAATGCCTTGTCATTTTCTTGGTAGGTGCTTTCTCAGAAAATATATGTAAATATAAAAGAACAAAAAAGTTCATAGAGTTTTTAGACAAAGGAAGGGGAAAGGCAATACTTACCTTCCAGTATAAAGCTCCAAATGCAAACCCAATTACAAGAGAAAAGAATGCTGGCAAGGCCATGGCTGCCCATTGAAGGTTGGCGTCTTCAGAGAAATTTGGTCCCTTCCCTGTAATTTAAAGACAGTGATGAATAGTATACCCAGGCTTAAGGTGTTGCTCTTATGCTGTGGCTGTGCCCAACTGTTCCATAATGTACTTCATCTATACCTGAATAAAATATGTGAAATACTATTTTTCTGTTCAGAACTGTTTTGGGATGGTGACATAAATTCACGTAGTCCCCAGTAGATAAGTAAGTTGGCAAAAAAAAAGAAGAAAGAAGAGAGAAAAAGGAAAGAAAGAAGAGAAGGAGGGATGGAGGAGGGAGGGAGGGAGGGAGAAAGGAAGAGAAAGTCCACAGATGGAAGGATATTAAACTTGGTTAAATGTTCAGACACAATTTACAGATACTTGATGGATTCCTGGGAGGAAAATGACTTACACCACATCAAGCAAATCCATAGTCTATGCATTTTTCTTTGAATGTTTTCATTTTCTCCATATCTTGGTGGGGAATTTTAAAACCCAGGTCAAGGATCTGTATGCATTCAAGTTATGTTTTGTCTGTCACAGTATGAAGACCTTGTATTGCTTACATTGTAGCGAGGGTATTTATAGGCGTCTCATGCTCAGAACTCTGATATTTATTTCTTTATCACATATTTGGCACGCACTTATTGGAGGCCAGCTGTTACCTGGTACTGTGATACAAACTAAAAGTTTTAATTTTTTTTCACTTTCAGTGTTAGTAAAAAAAGGCATAAAAGTATTCTGAACAATTTTGGTTCTGCTTTATTCTTCCTTAAGCACAATGATTCAAGAATTAAAACACAGCTTCCCATCAGGCTTGCCTCCCAACAGAAAGCTTAACATTTGCACAGGTTTTTTCCCTCTTCCTCTTAAAAGGAACAACTTAGATACATGGAAACATCAACACACATGTACAAAAATTTGTAAAGCCTAAACTTTTAATTTTCTTTTGAAGATTTAATAAATTTATAAATTATACATTTTTAGCAACAATGTAGTCAAAAGAGTAAATTGAGGAACATGACTGCTTTGGCAATATTTTGCAGTGATATTTGGGCTACCATATCAACAGTTGATTAAATAGTCATCTATTTAACATGTAAAAGATCTAAAGTATGAAATACAAAAACACATCACTGTATGCATAAACATGTACAAATATAAAATAAGGCAGCAAATTTATTTTGAGGAGTAGAAAACAAATGCTATATACAGTAGTGATAAGAATTGCCCATTTCCCATGTTTTATAGTTGCGGAGTAGGAATTTCACTAATTCTATAATTCCCTTATTTCAAAAGAAGGTCTAGTAATAGTTTATATGTGCTGATATATATATGTATGTATGTTTTTGTTTTGGATCAGCACAGTGAATGGTGCATGTATAGTGTAAAGGCAGAGGAACAAGGTCTTTAAATGGAGTTTTCTATTCACATAACCTTGAGTTAAATCCTGAAGACAAGACTAACAGCTCTGTGACCCACTCCACATTCTACACTCCCAGAGGAAATATGTTTTAGGCATCATAACTTGGAGCTCAGTGAAATGTTCTCACACCAAAATAAGACTGAGTTAAAAATTAGATTTGGCACAATTAAGATAATGCTAGCATTACAATAAAGTAGCTATTTTAAGTTTATATGAGATTATATGTGGTAGTCTGTTATGGAGCTACCATTTATAGAATAACTTACTGTGAGAACAGGAACTCAGAGATACTAGCAATTTCTATAATGTTCAGACTCTTTATTACACTACCTAGAAATATTTTGACTATTAAAGTTCAAATTCTCCTTGTCACTCCCATCCTGTCTGTTGAAATTGCTGACATGTAATTCATAGAAGATTCAACCAAATGACCTCTATCACGGGCCCTAATTAAACTATACAGAGAAAATATCTGGAATTGTTCTGATCAGACGAAAGACTACAACCATGAGCAACATGCGGGAGGAGCTTACCAGAGCAGCGGTTTTCACGCACAGGTCTTTAGACCTACACTGGTCCTTAGGGTAAAAAGATGAAAAACCACTGGACCAAAACATGAGGCATTCTGGGATTCTCCAACTCAACATCTTTCTCACATGGGGACAGTCCCCAAGAGAAGCTTTCCAAGTTATGCTGGAGGGGAGATCCAAGGATCGCTCACCTCACTCTCCCTTTTTAACATTTTAACTTTGAAAGTTCCACCCACACATAGAAAGTCTGGGAACTGGACTAACTGTCGATGACCAGCCTGCATGCCATGCTTGTTAGCAAGAAAGTGGCCCAGTAAAGGCTCCCAAGAGATGGGTCCCAGAAACTGAATGTCACCTCTTCTGTGGGTCAGTTACCAATCTCTCTTGTCAATGCCAAAGGTTAACCAGACAGGCCTCAAGTGATATTTTCCTCCTTCTTATAAAGAGAGAAAAATGTTGCCATCAGAAAAAGCTTGTACCAGGGACTGACACCTAATACCACTGCCACCCATGAGGGATCAATATATTTTTAATTATAAGCCTCAAGGATTATATGAACACTATCTAAAACCTTAGGCCAAGTCAGCAAAAAAAGCTTTGCTTTTATCTAAACATTATACCCACAGGAACCTTGTGTGGTGGGGGAGTTCATCTGGATAAGATTTGAGTTAATCCCAAATTCCTCAGTTGTTATCCTGTTAATTGTATCTTATTATTATGAAATAGTTTTAGTAGAAACGGACTTATTTACTTTGATTAAAACCCAACATCTGTATAAATAAAGAACACACCCACACACACCCACACCCACACACACATATACACACACACATACCACACACCAACACCACTGTGTTGTGATTTCTTGGGCTCCTTTTCAGACTAAATCTTCTTCTGGACACCATAGCTATGAACCTGGATCTTGCTTGAATGGGGATATGAATCCAGGTAGCTTAATTCAAGACTGTATTTTTGTTCTGTTTTTAGAACTAGACCAGGCTGTGATCAGGACTTTGTCCTGGCTCTGTCCTCCTGGATCACTCCTAGTGGACTTGGGGTACTACGTAGAGTATCAAGAATGGAAGCCACATTGGCCATGTGCAAGACAGGCACCCAACCAGCTGGACTATCACGCCAGCCCTTCAAGATTGTATTTTAGAAGATCTGTAAGGTTATATCTAAGTAAGGACTTCTTTCCATATGATTTAAATACCATCTGCAAAAATATCAACTTTAAACATTTTTAAAAATTTCCTTTTAGCACAGGATAAAGAATGTTACTTTGAAAATATAATTTCCGTTAGACAACTTGTATATTTTTATATTATCCCGTGACTCTTCTATATACAATCCATCTCTGAAATATTCTCTACATATACCATGGTCCTTCATCTAGAATAGTTACTTTTTAAAAGCCTATCTCTGATAGCTTTACATGTTTTCTCCTAATTTCCTTCACTCTACTTACCCAAAAAATCCTCTTTTATTTTATAGCTGAAATATTTACATACTTCTACTATCATGAATACAATATACTATGAGTAGTTTAGTATTTGATTTTCCTTTCATGAGAACAAAGCTCAATGAAAAGTAGTCTTCTGCATATATGTCAGTGTGCCATATTTATGAGTGACACACTTGTTCAAGACTAGAAGAAAAGTATAAGCAAAGCAATAGAGAGGACTGGTCAATGATTTTGCAATTAAGCAAAGTACCTTCAGATTTCATAGAAGAGATAATTTCCAGTCTTTCCTTGAGCCTGGCAAACTACCTGTGGCGTATTTGATATGCCAAAAACAGTAACAATAATGGGTCTCGTGCCCCTGACCCTGAAAGAGCCTCCAGCATGGCAGCGTTAGGAAAGACGAGTAAGGAGAGGCTGCTAAAATCTCAGGACTGGGACGAATGGCGACATTATTGGCGCCCGCTCGAGTAAATCAATGAACAATGGAATGACAGTGATACAGTGACAGTGATACCTTCAGATTTGGAGGCAGAAAGACTAGACAGCGGTTGAACAGTTTATATTTTAGAACACAGAGAGGTAACTTTATAGATGAGTTCTTCCAACTAAAATACTTATTAGACACATTATTTGTGGCAACTTTTCTCAGTGATTGCCCATCAGGCAACATAAGACTATCATCAAAAGAGAGGCCCAGCACACAGTGAGGTCAAGACTGTTTTGATTTTCTGGCTGAGAGGTACTTTCAGGCTGAGACATGCAAAAGAGAATCATTAGGGCTCATCAGTCTCACTTAAAGAATCAGAAATGGAATTTGAGGAGATGTTTCAAAGGCTTGGAGCTCATGCATTGCATGCACAAGGTCCTGATTTGACTGTGAACACCATATGCCCCTACCTTAACAGCACTGAGGTGGCCCCTGGGCACCTCTGGATAATTTTTCTCCAACCCAATAAGAAAGAAATTAGAATCAGACATTGAAGTTCAAGGTTCTTGACATTGTAAAGATGTGTAGATGGGACAGGGTTATATATCTGTGTGGGGAATTGTGTAGAGAAGAAGCAACTGAAATCACTGGAAGAATCTCCCTAAGTTGGTAGTTGAATGAGGTTCATATGTTCAGGGACAGACTGTAATAAATAGCCACTAAGTATGATTTGAACAGAGACCTTGGTTGTCATTCAGAAGCAATTGTGTTGACAAGAAAAAATGGAGGAACTAAAGTTAGGGATAGGGTTCAAAGAAAAAGTTCATGCTCTGTATACAGCATGAGGTTCTAGCTAAATCCCTGGCACTCACTCACCCCCACCCCCACCCCCACCCCAGAGATACACATACATAAGAATGAAGGGACTTCCTAAGCATTTGAGATATTATGTCATATGGTCTACACCTTAGAAAGAATATCATGAACAATTTTTTAAAAAAAAGACTGAAAAATATTCTTCCTAGTCCTTCCAAGAAGATTTAATAACAAACCTATGAAGATACTGATCTCCAATAGCTGAATTGCTTCTAAGAACCAAATTCAACGCAGCACACAAAATCTATATACTTGACAACATAGTACTCATGCTATCTAGCATATATTTAAAAATCATTAGTCAACAGAAGAGAAACAGTTCATAATAAAAATGAAACAAAATCAGACAGTAAAGCCAACCCTGAGATGAAATACATATTGATATTAGAAAATAAGATCTTTAGAATAGCTATAATATCTCTATCCAAGGGATCTATAAAGAAAATATTGTCATAAAGAGTATATGGGTAGAAAATCTCAACAGAAAAATATATAAAGATTCAAATGGAAATCAGACAATGCACAGAATTCAACATCTAAAATGTACAATATCGTGAACAAATATAAGATACTCTATGGGATTTAGGTGATAACTTTGTGTCCTTGTACATTTATTAGTTGTACTAAACCAGCTACCCTGGGAAGCTGATCATGCAGGAGGTCATGTGTGGAAAATTGGTCACGCAGGAGGCCACACATGTCGAGGGAGAAACTGTTTTATGAGAAATTTCTGTAGCTTCCTTTCAATCTTGCTGTGACCCTTAAGCCGCTCTTTAAAAGGCTTAATTTAAAACATTTCAATGTTTAGAAAACACTTACTGGATGAAAAATTTGTATTAGAGAAAGCAGAAGAAGGGAATTTAGAGCCAGCAAACTAACACAGGGATTAAGGCACTTGCCTATGGCCAGCTCTGGATTGATCTCAGGCATTGCCTAAGGTGTCCCACAATGTCACTAATGCTCCTTGAGCACCACACAGTATGGTCCAGAAACAAAAACAAGAATTAATGGAAAACATAAGCACTTACGTTTTTCATTTTGAGGAATATATAAGAGATTAAAAAAAATAACTGAACATAGAGGCTGAAAGAGAATATAGTAGGCAAAGCACATGCCTTCCATGTGGTCAACCCGGGTTCGATATCCAAGATCCCATATGGTTCCCCAAGCACCGCCAGGAGTAATTGTTGAATGTACAGTCAAGAGTAACCCGGGTATGGCCCCAAACAAACAACAACAACAAAAACCCTGAACATAATCACTCTGAAGTGTGATGCACTATCAAACAGCCAAAGTATGATTAGCGTGACAGAAGGAGAGGAACATAATTAAAAAAAAATTGAAAAGGTTATGGTTGAAATATTTCCAAATTTTGGAGAAAGTTAAACTGAAAGAACTAAGAGGAATGACAAATGATAAGAAAGATAAACACCAACAAAACCCCTCTTAAGCATATCTTAGTTAAACTGCTTAACAGAAGAAAGATTTGAAAGAAGGCAGGAGGGAAAGCGAGCCAGCACATACAAGGAAAAACACAATGCAAATGCTAGCTGCTTTCTGTCAGAAACATCAGAAGGTAGACTATGACTGAAAAAAAAATTGTTAACCCAGAAAGACATATCCAGTAGAAGTACCTACTAGACTGAAGACAATGACAAATTAAAAAAAAAAATCAAAGCTCAATTATTTTGATCAATTCTATATACATGAGTCTCAAAACAAGCCAAAAAAGAGACTGTATGCTCTCTGACAAAAAGTTTAGAAACAAGAGATCTAGAAAAACCACATTGCATCGCAGACATCAAACAGTCTACTTTTACTCATGAATTCAAGAAATTACAAGGAAAAATGTAAAATAGCCCGGCAAGCTACTGAGAGTATTCGATATGCCAGACACAGTAACAACAAAGTCTCCAATGGAGACGTTACTGGGCCCGCTCGAGCAAATCGACGATCAACGGGAGGGCCTTTACCTTTTAAAGAAATGATAAGAAAAATACAGCAATCAAGATGTGTGCGATACAGCCAAATTGAAACCTTTAAGGATTGAAACCTTTAACCTCCTCCTCCTCCTCCTCTTCCTCCTCCTCCTCCTCCTCCTTCTTCCTCCTCCTCCTCCTCCTCTTCCTCCCTCTCCTCCTCTTCCTCCTTCTCCTCCTCCTCCTTCTCTCTTCTTTCTTCCTCCGCCTAGACCCCCTCCTCCTTCCCTCTTCTTCCTTCTTTTTCTTTCGTTTTTGGCTACATCAGGAGTGCTTAGGACTCACTCCTGGCTCTGCATTCAGGGATTGCCCCATGTGGGATTCGGGAGACCACAGATGATAAGAGGTGCTGGGGACCCATCCCAGGTCAAAAGTATGCAAGGCACATTCCCTACACTATCTACTATTGCTCCAGCTCTATTCCCTCCCCTTTAAATTCTATCAGAAGAAAAAAATGCTTTAAAATCTGCTATATATTTTTCCTACATTAATAATATTGGAAGCAAGAGAAAGTAGAGCAAATTAAAACCAAAGCAGAAGAAATTTAAGAGTAGAAATCAACAAAATATAAATAAGAGGCCGTAAAATGTTTCTTTGAAAATATCAATAAACTTGTTAGTAGGGAAAAAGAAAACCTTAATTGTCTAACACATTTAAAGTTTCTTTTCAAAGCTTTATAGATCTGATGTGTTATGTAATAAGGAATTTTAAATTCTAGCTGTTGCTAGACTCAAGGGTCAGAATATATAGAAATCCAATGACTTCATAATGCACTTTACCTAGACTTAAAAAGAGGACTAAAGTATTCCTAAAAATTTAGTTTTGAGCAAAGAAGACAGAGAATTTAGGGAAAGAAACTTTTTTCCTGCAATATATAATGTAGTAAAATAACAATATACTTTCAAACAAACAAACAATAGTAAGTAAAGAACTATTACCAAACTGAAAAAACTTCTTGGAGTCCGATGCAACTAATATTTGTCTTTTCCATTTGAAAGTTTCATTTTTTTGTCACGAAAATTTTACATGAACTATAGTTTAATGCTAAAAAGAATCAAATCATATTTCTAAAAGTAATTCCATGCCTTATTTAAAATAATCTCAGTAGAACATGTATTGACTTAATTCTCTAAACATTATCTCAAGCTGCAGGGAAACCCATTTCTAGATACCTAATATTTAATTTTCCAAAAGATCATACCAGGAAGAACTGTAACAGAATCATATTAATAGTAATCATTTAAAAAGTTGCCTTTAAAGCCCATGCAATACTCCTATAGATGCTAATTGGAGCCATGCATGCATTAAATCAGATACATGTACTTACTATTACTGCTACTGCTGTCATTCCTAAGGGAGCTGGCTGCAACAGGGGGTAACATAAATGGTTTTGTGACACTGACTCTGGAATCTAAATAGAAAGCAATAATGTGTCAGTGTTGCATTGGCGAGTTACATAAATTACAGAGTTCCCAAAAGGCGAAGTGCAATATCAGAGTATGTCCAGGTCTGCCTCCCAAATCTAGGTTATTCAGTTCCTATTTATTTCGTCCTGGGCCCTATTCTATTTTTTATTAAAAACTTCACCACAGTAACCTTGGAGAACAAAGATTCTTTTCCTAGAATTGCTAATAATCACAAATGATGCAAAGCATTGGCAATCAATCATTAAAAAATCATGAAATTAAGATTTTTGTATTACAAAGACCCCGTGAGGGGAAGAAGATTCTTAACATAGAGTAACCAATGAAGATGAGAATTCATGGTTAGTGTTAGACCCTTAAGGAAAAGACTTGAGGAGGGGACATTAAGAAGACTGAAAGTAAAGATAATATAATTTGTTCATTATAAGCAAATATCAAATTAAGAAAAATGAGCAATTATCCGATTATTATTTACTCACACAATTCCTTAATTTGAAAATAATAAATGTTGATTAGGTTTCAAAATCAATAAATCTATTACCATGATTTCTTTCATGTCATTGACATTTGCTTTCATGTTAGCCATGCAAACAGACATACATCTTTCTCTACCTACACATATGTTGAGTCAGACCTTGAGTCTTACCTACACATATACGATTCATGCTTGCTTTTTTATATTTTAATTATAAATGATTATTATTACCTTTTTCAGGACTCGATGTTGAAGAAAACACACATTCACTAGCTTTAGATGTCACCATCTCCAAGTCCTTGAAGGCATCAATGGATCTATTAAAAATTCTAAAGAATTCTGCAGGAGTAAACTTCCTGCTTTCTGTGCTCTTTAATGACTTTTTCATAACCTAGAAGAAAATAAGATTATAGTTTTCAATCTATAAACTTCACTGATCATGATGTTTTAGTCTATAAATGTGTCCTTCAATGATTCAAATAAAACTAACAATAATTCTGCTAACACATATAATTCAAATTGATTCTACAAGAGAATGATCTTACCTAGTTCAGTCTAATCTTCAATAATTAATAAAAGGAAAGGAATGGTAGTGGCCATGGGGATCAAGTAAAGTGATTGGCATAACAATCACTTTAACAATTTCATCTTCCTTCCCTCCTTCCCTCCCTCCCTTCCTCCCTCCTTTTCGCCCTTCCTTCTTTCCTTGTTCAGTGAGATGTCTAACAAAGGCCCTCACACGTGTAAGGCAGTGCTCTATGACTGAGTTACATCATCAGCTAGAGACATAGTTCCTTACAGGTTATAAAGAAAATTATATTCATTTTCATAAACCAAAGGCTCCTTATAGTTAAAATAATAAAGAATGGTGATACTAAATGTTGACTAGGACACATAGTTATGAGGGCTTGTATACACTGATAGAATAACGTAAAGTGAAACATTTGTTATATAGTAAAGCTTGACATATAACCATCCTATGACCCAGAAATACCACACCTATGTAAGGACTATGTGAAATCCTTGCATTTAAGTACCGCAGACACATCTCTACTAGCAGTATTTCTTATTTACTTTTGCTGTGCCAAGGATTGAACCTCGGGCCTCACACATGCAAGGTAAGTGTCATATTGCTGAGTTATGTCCTCAATTCTTAACAGTGGTGTTTATAAACAAATGATCAACAGCAGAATGACAATGAATAGTAGCATATTCAACCAAGAGAATATTCTATAACTGGTAAAATTTGGAGAGCAGTGTACACAATATTTTTATAAGCACATAAATAACATTTTGCTGTTGCTGACACATTCCTTAACTGATATAACCAACTTTTTTTATGACCTCTCCTTATCCAATGTCATCAGCATAGTATATGCAGGAATATGATATCAGAAGAGATGCTAACTTTAAAAGAGCTATTGATTATATGATATTTTTGATTCAGAAATTAAAAAGTAAAACAATAGATGTGATAATATATAGTAGTTAGGTTAATTAGCATGATGTGACTCCAGGATTTGGAGAACACAAAAGGGACTGAAGCTAAATCTTAAAAGAGTAGCTGGAGTTTGGATAAGGATAAAGGGGTTGGGGACAACATTACTGACTTAAGTCTAAAACCCTAAGGTTTAAACTTCTAGAAGACCACAAGCTAAACTTTAACTTGTAAACTCTATTCAAAGCCTGTTTCCTAAAACACAGTGTTATAAAACAATAAATAGATAAAATAAATTAATAAGATTCTTTGAGTCATAAGTGTGCTTTCATTGTAAGTTATTTCCTATAACCTCATAAGATGGAATTTTTCCTATTCCCATTTTAGTCCTAAAGAAAATGAACAGAGAGGGTTTGTGTTGACAGGCTAACTAGTGACAGTCAGAATTGAATTTAAAGAATTTTTTCCTTGGTGTCAGAGACACATTGCTTCTTCAGTATGCTTACAACCTAAAGCACTGCTTCGTCAATACCCTGAAGTTGGTGATACATACTCATAAAATTACTTGGAGATACCAAAATGCCCTTCTTTTTTGTGAAATGCTTGCTATAGATAAGGGGTTCAGGAAATGTGCACATCATACACAATTCTTCACTTAAAGAGAAACATCTGAAAACTAATAAGAAGGTTATGAAAGTGTCACTTAGCAAATAAAAGATATCAACAGGGAAGTTGTTACTCATGGTGTGAACAAATTTCATTTCTATATGAAATGATGACATTTAAGTCCTAATATACATTTCAAATTGCAAACGCCTATTTTATGTGTTCATCTTAGTCTTTTCTTTTTTCTTTTTTTTGTGGGGGTGCCAGAGAATCAGTGATTGAACCCAGTTTTCATACATATAAGGCACACATTTTGCTACTACGTTGTTTCTCCAGTCCTAAAAAACATTTTAAAATGATATGGTTATAGTTAGGAAAAAAATGAATCACACAAGCAAAGATGCCTACCCCATACCCACCAAACAGCACAGTAGAAAAGAGTTGTAAAAACCCAATCCCAATAAATATTACCGTAAGTGAGGTGCCGTCCACACACATCACAAGGTCATCCACTATTTTCACAAGTTTGTTTATGATAGAATAATTACTCAAGCCTTCAGAAATAGCTGAAAACTTGTCCAGAAGATCAGTCAAACTGGTTGACAACTGTACCACCATCTCGGTTATCCAACAATGACTAGGCTGCAAGAAATCGAAAGAAAGTACAATAAAGCATCTATTTTAAGTACAATAAACTCAGAGCACCCTTTAAAGTCATCTGTGACTCAGGCATTGACTGCTGGACAATGGATTTCCTTATGTCTAAACAGGTCAGTTCTTGTGTTTTAACAAAAAAATCTCACATCCTGTTTCAAAAGATATGACTACATAAAGATCAGAAGGAAGCACTCACTGATGGTAAAGATTTAGCTCTTCCATGGACGTAAATCAAGAGAAGAAAGAGACACTCTTACCCTTGACAATGTCCAAGTATTCTTGGAATGTAATTCTATAGAAGGTTGTTTATTTTTTACTCACTGTGTACTTAAAGGAGTTGTAAACATAGAGAGGGTTACAAAAATTTAATGAGGATTAAGTACTTCTCCTCAAGGGACAATGTGCAGTAGTTTGATGAACTGAATTACCAGTGGAAACAGAAGATTTAAATCAGCTTACTTGTTCTAAAACGCTTGACTGATTTCAAGACTTATTTAGAGGTAAATTCATGAGTGCTAAACATAACAACACAAAATAGAAAAAAAATACTCCTTGTTCAGTCAGAAATATTGTCTTAAAGAGCAACACTTTTTCCTCCTAATCTATGCAATTTGGTGGCATGGGGGCGGGCGGGGAGTGAAGCATGGAGGGGGGGTGCTGTCCGATGGGGAGTTGGAAAGGGCAAGAGAAAAATGTATATACTGTTTAGAATTTTTTTCAAAACTGGTTAAAAACTTCAAGACAGAATGAAATTTGGTTCCTTAAAACAGTATTGGCCCCTGGTTAGAAGCTCAAGCCTGGGAGATAGAAATGAGTTTAGTTCTGGACCAAGAGACTCCAGGAAAATCTTATTACTTCTCTAGATCTCACTTTTTCTAGCTACAACATAGGAATAAGAAAGTGAGGTTTGCTGCTTGTTATGAGGAAATAATGTACATAATTCAAATATTCTTGTTTTTTAAAAAAGTCTTTTATTAAATCTTGTTCCCCACCTTATCTCTAGTGTCTAACATATGAAGTTGTTTAAAAACAAACCTATTTGCTGACTGACTAAAATACAAATGAATAAAGCAATGAATAAATGAGAAAAATAATACTCTTCATCAGGGATCCATATTCCTTCTGTGAATGTCCAGATAGTAAATAATCTAAATTTGGTTTGCCAAGTAAAAATATGACACTGATATATTTATAGATGAGCAAGAAAATTGTCACTACAAAATGCAAAATGTAACACCTGAATGTAATTTTTGGATTAATGTTTGAATATGATTTCCTTTGTCATGTGGACCTGCCAGTAAGAAAATAATTCTTTATTGTGGGTAAACCTTTGCTTAGCTTGGTTCAAAGTCACCATTCTCCATCAAACAAACAGATTGCAAATGTTCATTAATAAAAACCCAATCCCAGCTGGCTGGCAGCCCATACAGAATGAAGCCAAGGGCTGGATTTGGCTTTAAAAGGTGTGATTTTCAGACCTACCCTAAAAGGCTAGGTTCAAAAAAAGTTTAGATGATTAAGAAAAAATTCTTACTAAATTAAGAAGAGATTTAATTCTTTTTAAGGTTAATGTCTTTTTATGATATTACATAAACTATTATTTGCAGTTATAAATTCACATACATAGTATTTTTAATATTAAGTGAAGCTGGATTTCTTTTAATGCTAAAAGGTTACAGTGAGAAAAAGAAAGATAATAGTGGGACAGGTAATAAAAATGGACTTGACTTAATCATATAAATATTTCAATATAGCTCCTATTATGATAAAGATATAATCATAAGAAATAAGTAATGACAGGAAAAACCAATCAAACCACTAAACTTCAAGTCTCTACTCACTAGCAGAATATAATCGTAAGGCATGGCCAACTAATTTGTTTATTCTCAATGATAAAAAGTGCATGTTTGAATTCATTTAATAGAACAGTCTTAATATAATACTGCCCCAAAGGAAACTGGTTAATCTGTAGATAGGTAAACCCTAGAATCATGGAATGCCATTCAAAACTGTTAGGATTGTTGGCTATGACTTCAGATAAGGAGAATAAACAAAATCTCAATTGGAATTAGTTCAATTAAGCAATTTAATTCAACCCATCAACAAAGTTTCCAAAGTCTGTTCAGAATGAATTCTTTGTTTTGTTAAATCAACGCTTATCTCCTGTTCATATATTTGCATCATTAACAGGGCTCTTTCCAAACTGTCAGTCTTTCCTCTGTGTTAATCTACTCTCCAAGTTTCCCTCTTTTTAGGCAGTGATAATTCCCTTTAGATAGTCCTATCAGCAGGGGCAGGTTTCCTAGACTGTGGGGTACAGCACATACTGTAAATACAGTTTGAATCATACTTATGAGGTAGAACAGTCTCCACCAATTAGTTCATGCCCAACTGTGAAAATTTTTCAGCGGCGTGCAAATGCCCATTAACATCTTTAAACTCTCATCTTGCTCTATTGTATAAATACTCTTGCCTAGTTTTCTCTTAAATATTCTGACGGGACTGTAAGAACCAAAATAAAATGCTTTAGTTTGAATGAAAGTAATCCTTCTGTTTCTGCGGGTTTTGCCTCAACTGAATGGGTTCTTTTTTTTTTTTGCTTTTGTCATTAAAGTAGAAAATAAAATATTTTGCTTATGTGCCTCTTTAAACTGGAGTACTTACTGCCACTTCTGTTTATCTTTGCTTTCAACTTAATACTATGCTTACATTCTTTATTCAAGTTCTTAACAATAACTATCTTGCATGGCGATATACTCTCTTGTTTTCACCAAAGAAATCAACAGCACAACCAGTCAGCTTTTTCCAGTCCAGTTTTTACCCCCCAAAAACAGCATTTCTTACAGTTAAAAGAAGGAAATCCCACAGTCCCCCACCCAATAGCTGCCCTTTGAAAGTCAGGGTAATTGTTGATAGTTGATACAAACTTCTGGATGACCTTGATGAAAAATATACTTCTGAAAGTCCTGGAATTGTGTTTCATTCATTACTTGTTCTTCCCATATTTCCTCGGGAATAACTGTATTTTCAATTTAAAGTTCTATTTTTTTTATCATTTTGTTAAAACAAATATGTTTGCTTTTGAAGATCCTGGGATTAATTGATGGATTTTTTTTTTTTTTAGTGGCAGAGATTGAAGTCAAGGCCTTGTACATGTGAGGCACATGCTATACCAGTTAGCCACATCGCCGAGGCCCTAAATCCTTCTTGGATTTTTTTAAAAGATAAAACTGAAGTGAATAATATTTAAATATCAGCCAGTTCTGACTTGTCTGCCTGCAAGAAAGGGAACCAGTTTTGGCGAGAACATCCAGCAGTTTTGTATTTTCTTTTAATTAAATTTAGTCAATGATTTGCAAAGAGAACAAAAAACAGTGAGCAAAAATATTTCATTTCTCGGACAATAGGTGTTTCTGTTTTTTTCAGTTCTTCAAGATTACAATTCAAAATGGATGATCAATGTTATGAAATTAGAAAGTGTCATTTCTTTCTCTGTGTTAGTAACATTGGTAGTTATTATGTTGTTGTAGTTTCTTAATAATATTGTTGCTATTTCTTATCTTTCAGAGTCCATTTCAAATTTAAGTGGCTCTCTGTAAATATTAACTCACAACACTCATTAAAGAATGTAAGATATAAATAATGTTCTCTGTTTTGCTACTAAAAGAATGCAAAAGATCAAACAAGTTGACAAAGTCTTGAAGGATGTCAAAGAGGTGATACATAACAGAGAGTGCCTTTTAGATACCTGAGTATGTTTTAGGGACACACTTCATAGAACAATACAGTCCTTGCTTTGACAAGGATGCCTTGCCTGGACTACTGCTTAGCTCCATACTTCCAATTTCTTACATTCTTTCTTGGAAGCTTCTGCTTGATTCTTTGGTTATTGGGCCACACTTGGCTATGCTCAGGACTTGTTCCTGACTCTGAGCTCAAAGGTCATTTCTTGTGGTGGTCAAGGAGCCCAGTGGGGTGCCGGGAATTAAACCAGTGTCATAACTTCAACTGTGAAGAGCATTAGATATTTTAAAGTATCATACCCATTAAATTAATGATTTATCTGAATGATTAAAGATAAAAATGCAACTATTTGAAAGCATTCTAAACATAACCAGGAATATGCCTGCTTCCAAAGATAAAAATATCTAAGCTCTAAGATAAATGATACATCAATTTTATAGGATGTGTGATATAACACACCTATCCTCCCAGAATTGGTGATGTACACTTAAGACACTGGCTGAAATCAATCGTGTGCTTTATAAACATTCATACAACTGGTAAGGTGGTTCTGTTTCCTCTTCTCTGATACCATGCGTCATTCTAAAAACTGTTCTGGTTTATTGGTTGAAAGAATTTAACATATTCATACCACTCCGGCTAGTGTCAAAAGCAGTCACCATTAGCTCTATAGAATTAGAAGCTAAAGTTGATAAAATAGACCATGATCATTATTTATAGATGTGTGTGGCAGCATTATTTATTTGTTTATTTATTTATTATTATTATTATTATTTTGGTAGCGTCAACAGAGAGATATAGGTATGCTCCTTTGGTGGCCCTATAGTACAGATCTCCATATAGAAATCTCTACAGGATTGCTGGAGTAAATTATCCATTAAGGATTATCAGAGAGAAAAACTGGCTCATATGCTGTGAGACCACTGAGGGATATTGACAAGGAATGATTTACTTTGTTTTCTAATCCAACTAATCTAATTACCAGCCATACCGCCCAGCTTGATTGTTTTGTTTTGTTTCCTTTAATGTGTCTCAATCCTCAATCTTGCCAAAATTAGAGGTATGAATGCCCAGGGCACAAAGCATTCCTTTATTTCCGCTGTGCTTTCCTATCTATCTCCTGGCTGAGCAATCAACGTCAAGCCATAGCATTCCTCACAATAGTTCAGGTCTGGAAGGAATACTCAAAGAGCCATCTGTTCCAGATCCACCGATTTCATAAATGGGGGAAAAAAAGGCCT